CAGGCGTGAGCCACCACACCAGGCTAATTTTCTATTGATTGATTGTAGGACCAGGATCTTGATCTTCCTAAGGCTGGTCTCGAACTCCTTTCCTAAAGCAATCCTCCCGCCTTGACCTCCCAAAGTGCTAGGATTCCAGGTGTGAGCTGCTGTGCCTGGCCTAGGAATATATTTTTAATATTTTACTTCTTTTTCATGACTCTTAAGGTGTCTTAACTTTATAGCCATGTTATCTGTCTTCATTTAGGCTAACTATATCTTCTATTGGTTTTTTTCCTTTAGTACTATTTCTTGTGTCTTATGTTATCTTCCCTCATTGGTTTATTAATATTATTTTTGTTTCACTGAGCAATATCTCTGAGTAATTTTCCTCCCAGAAAGGGTTTGTAGGTGCTAAACTTTTAGTCCTTGCATATCTGAAGGTATCTTCATTTTGTCTTCATTCTCGAATGATAATTTGGCTTCAATTCGAATCTTCAGCATTTCCAAAACCCTACTCATTCATCTGTCTAATGCCCCTTAGGAAGCAGCCTGTGAAGCAGCTTTTGGTGCCCAGCCAGGCCAGGACAGTTTGGGAAAGCCTGGGATGGGGAGCTTTTTAGACAGGAGAGAGTTGAGTGCTGGTCCTGTGGGAAGAAGTTGAAGAGCGATGGCTGCTCCCCAGGCCTGTCCACAGTGTTTCTCTGGGAGGAATGGATGCTGGGAGGAACACTGGCATGGGAAGCTGCTGTCTGGTTCAGTAGCTACACATGTGATGTGAACTCTAGGAGTCCTGCAGGAGTGGGAGGAGCTGCCGTGCACATCCCTGAATTCAGATGGAGTACCCACGAGTTCCGGGCACCTGACCAGCGCTATGAGGAGGAGGGAGGCTGGAGGCGCTTTCACAAAGGTGTGGATGGTGGGGCAGGTGAGACAGGCCAGGGGCGGGACAATAGAGGTGGGCTGAGCCCTGAGAGCCACAAGCAGGGAGGGTGAGTCCTCACCTGGGAAGAGTAGCTGCAAGTGGAGACTGGGGCCATTTGGAGGTTGGGATCAGGAGTGGTGGCCTTGTTGCCCAGTAGAGTTGGGGTCTGGCGCAGGTCTGGAGGAGGATGTTTAGAAGTTGACAGTGAGTATTTAGGAGCTGTAATTGACAGATCTGTGAAAACCCAGGGCAGCCCAGTGATACAGTCTGTGTCGTGTGGGGTGTAGGCTATGCCCTGCATGAGCACACTGGGCCCTCACACCCCCTGGTGATGCTTTATGGTTATTTTGTTGCCTTCACCCCACAAGTGTACCAGATCGTAAGTTGGTTTCTCTCATCAAAAGATAGTTATCGACTATGACCTTACAATATGAATTGTTAGGACTGGGCACTGATGATGGACTGAAGATGAATATTACAGCACCACCTGCTTCCTTTTTTGGATAAAAGTTAAGAATGGATATCCCAAGCTTGTGGAATTTGCTCTGCCATTGGCTCCGTGGCTTGAGCTCCTCTATTGAAATGCAGGACCACTCAGACAAGTCTCTCCTTCGAGTTATCATGCTGTCGTCCACATGGGTTAGGTTAGTTCACCAACACAGAGCCAGCTTGTTTATCATGTGGGATCCAGTAGCCGTTGCTGTGCTTGTGTTGTGTTTGGCGTCTGTGGTGGGCATTTGAGGTGGGGGCCCTCACTCAGCTTTGCAGCTGCTGTTGTGGATCTGCACAGCTCACCTGGCACATGCTGGAATTTCCCTTTCCTATGATTGCTTTAATTATATCTATTAAAATGTAATTTTTTTTTTTTTTTTGAGACAGGGTCTCATTCTGTTGCCCAGGCTGGAGTCCAGGGGCATGACCATAGCTCACCATGGCCTCGAACTCCTGGGCTCGAGGGATCCTCCCACCTCAACCTGCCAAATAGCTGAGACTATAGGTGTGCACCACCATGTCTGACTAATTTTTAAAAATTTTTTGTAGAGACAGAATCTCACTATGTTGCCCAGGCTGTTCTCCAACTCCTGGTCTCAAGCGATGCTCCCACCTTGGCCTCTCAAAGTCCTGGACTACAGGCGTGAGCCACCATGACTGGCCCTATTGAAATATAATTTTAATGTCTAAATCTGATAATAAAACTTTGGAGTTTTTGTTTATTATGTATCTTGGGATTTGTTTCAGCTCATTTTTTTGTAATTCAATTTTATTTTGTTTAAATAAGTGTCAGTCTAGGTCAGACAGGAAACATTGACCATCTCCCCATGATGGCTTGCAGGGCCCTGATTTGGGCCCTCCTGGGGCATGCGAGCCCTAGTGGGAGGGAGCGAGAGCTGCCTCATGGAGCCACCTTCCTGGTTTTCCCGTGCTCACATATGGTCTTCTGCCTGGCCTTGCCTGCCCATCATGGCACACCCAAGGGTGCCTGTTGGTGATTATTGGATGCTGTGTCTCAGGGCCTTCAGGGAAGCCTGCGCCAAGTTTATCAGGGCAGAGCTGACAACTCAGCCCCTCATGTCCCTGGAACCAGGGCTCTCTTTTCAAAGCAATAAAATTTATACCTGCACATGGATTAGAAAGCATCAAGACTCTGAAAGGGCGCAGGGGTGGTGAGTGCCCACGGACTCTCAGCTTCAGCACCTTTCCTCCTGGTCCCTCATGCTTTCCAGAGGGAGCCTGGCAGATACACACGTGTGTTGAGATCTGTCTGCTCCTGTTTTGTTTTGGTTTTATTTAAAATTTTTCATTTTCAAATAGTTTTAGACTTATGCAGAAGAGTTGTAAAGGTGCTTCCCTAGTGATCACGTCCTCAAGGGGCTGTAAAGCTGGAAAAGGCCTAGTCCTTACATAGGCCTCGGATCCGGCTGGGGCCATCCAGGGAGATCTCTCCTGGTGGCTGTTTGAGAACGTGCTTGTGTTGCAGATGCTATGAATTAATCCGGGTGAGGATGGCTGTGCAACCTTGTCTTCTCACAAAGACTTTCCTGTCCTGGTTGTGTGGGACCCTGGTGTCAGAGCAAAGACTAAGCGCGCTTTATGCCCTGCAGAAATTCCATCTCGTGGCAGGACACACCCAGATAGAATCGAGCGGGGGAGAGTTACACTGGGAACGGTGTCAGGTAGAGGAGTACAGGACCTTGGGGGAGGCTTTTGGCACCTTACCCTGGGGAGGGGGGTCTCATGTTTGTACTTTGTCTACTTTTATTCATTCATCAGATGTTTGTTATGCACTCACTATGTGCCAGGGACGGTGTTAAAGTGCTATCTGTTGTGACTTCCTTGTCTACTGGATATAGAAGGAGGAAAAAAAGAATCCCCACCATGCCTTTTTCCCCACACAAGAAGTACTGAATCCTTGGGAGAAATCTTCTTGAAGGCAGGCAGTGTGGGGTGATGGAGGGTCCCATAGACCGCTCTGGCTGGCCTGGGTGTGCTGGCCCCTCTGCAGCACCTGCTCTTCCCGGGCCCCACATTGCAGAGCCTCCGGAGTGACGGCCAGCACTGTTGCTGAGCCCATCCCAGGAGAGCATGTGCGGCACACAGCGCCTCGCTTCGAGCTTGTCTCCCATTTCCTGCTGTGTTGTCAGTGTGTTAAATATGCCATGGTTTGATAGCTTCCCTACCCTCCTTTTCGATACTGGAAGACCAACACGTGTGAGTCCCTGCTAGGTAGCAGACAGTAACGTCAGCTGCTGTCTGCTGAGGCCTCCCAGTGTGGCAGATGTGGCTTGTCTAGGAGCATTCTGTCCTTTCGTTGGTAAGACCCGAGGTGTGAACAGGAAGGTGTACATACCGCATACTGCCACCCGTTGTGGGTCCACATTGTCTCCAGGGAATATCTGGGCGGAGGGCAGCCCGGACTGGGGAGGCTGAATGGGGAGTGGCAGCTAGGGGAGAAGCATAGTGCTGGCCTTGCCACCAGGTTTGTGTCACCATTTTTAGGAAGAAAAGTTAGTCTTTGGTGAAGAGTCCTGTTGTGTGGCTCTATCTTTGGCTGAGGTCAGTCTCCTCTCTGCTATCTCCCCAACTGTCACTGTTCCCGGGAGACCCAGCTAGTCTAGCCTTGTGGCCCTGCCTTCCTCATTTGGCCTCCCTGCTAAGCATGGTGGCTGGTGCAGGGTCAGTGCCTGCCCAGTGTAGGTGGAGCTGGCAGTGCACGGAGACTCTCTCCTTCTCTTTCGTGTTCGTTCAGGCACCGTTGTGACAGCAAAGTCAGAACCAACAACACTGTAAGGGTGAGGTGTGGTCATGCTGCCAGCCACCAGTGCAGCTGGTGTGAACAGTGTTTCCTGGTGGACACACAGCCTGGACTGTTGTGTTCAAACTCGTGGGGCACAGCAAACGGGCAGAGAAGAATGTCAGCAGCAGTTCTCTAGGAGGACAGAAAAATAACATTGACTTCAAGATTTTTTTGTGTGTATTTATTATTTTCCTAATTTTCCACAGGGAATAGGTTATTTTGTAATTGGGATAAAGCAAGCATTCTCTCATGGAAGAGACACATTTGGTGTGCGCTCATAATTTCTCATGAACATTTATGGCTTCACTTTATTTAACCCTAATCAGTGTGAACTGCATGCCCTGTGTGTCCTTGACCCTGTACTGGTTGGCCTCTCGTAGTGTTGTCTCTGCTGCACAGACTTGGTAGTCACCAGTTGATCCTGTGTTTTACTGTCTTGATAAGAGTAAAGCCCCCATTAGTTACCACTCTCCTTTTTGGTCATTTCCTTAACTGTTATTCTAGAGAGACTTTGGGATTATTTTGTCAATATGCACTTTAAAATCTTCTGGAGAAAATTGGAGTTGCTCTCTGCCTGTAGATTTGGGACAATATGCGTCTTTGTATTAGTTGTCTTGTCCAGGGATGTGGATGTCCCTCCATTCACCAAGGCCTGTGTGGGTCTTGGTCAGGTTTTAGAGTAGACATATTTTGTGAGGACTAAAAGTCTGACTTTTGCATTGAAAGTGCCATGAAGGAGATGTGTGTTCTGAACGTGGGGCTGGTGGTGCTCACACACCAATCGAGTGGCTTCTTCTCTAGGTTCCCTATGAAACACTGAATAAACGCTTTCGAGCTGCTCAGAAAAACATAGACCGGGAGACGAGCCACGTCACCATGGTGGTGGCAGAGCTGGAGAAGACCTTGAGCAGCTGCCCTGCCGTGGACTCTGTGGTTAGTCTACTGGATGGCGTGGTGGAGAAACTCAGTGTCCTCAAGAGGAAGGTCAGTTCTGCTTCTGGGCCATTCTTCCTCAGCCAGGAAGGACACCCAATTTGTCTTGAAAATGAGCTGTCTTCTGTGGAAGCTGGGACGTAACTGGCCAGGAAGTCCTAACATGGAGAGACAAGCTGTTATGGTGGGAATGTGGGGTCGCAGTGTTGGGGCCCCCTTCCATGCTGTGTCCTAGTGTCACTATTAGGCTAAAGCAGGCCAGCTTTCTGTTCCTATAGGGACCATTGTCTTGGCTACAGAAGTGTCCCAAGCCCAGACAGTAGGGAGGCCAGGATGTATAGGAGATTAGTTTATTATTTTTAGAATTGTGCCTCAAAATAGCACATGGGGTTTGTTATTGGGACTAATCTGCCCACTGAAAACAACTCAGAAGGTGGGATAAGATATTTTAAAACATGTTACTGAAAGTATCATGTTTTATCTAGAAATTATCTAGAATATGCAGCACAGAGATTCAAAAAATGAAAGTACGTAAGAGAGTAAGAGAGACAGAATAGAGCAGAAATGTCCATTGTGTTTAACCAGAGCATGGGGGTGGGCAGAGATGGTACAGGGAGAAGGACGAGGAGATATTCAGAACTGAGTAAAGTCACCGTTCAGAATCCTAAACAGAATAAATGAAAATAAACCTACATAGGATTTTCTCTTGGCAAAACTGAAGAAAACAGAGACAAAGAAAAAAGTCTTAAAAGCAGCTGGGGGGAAAGATCACTTCCAAAAGAGGAACAAATAGCCTGACAGCTGACAGCAATTGGAAGCCAAAAATAGTGGAATGTGCTGAAAGAAAACTAAATTTTCTTTTAGTTTTCTTTTAGCCAGAATCCTAGATACACACTAATACCTAGCCATTAGCCATGTGTGCTACTAAAATTTAAATTAAATTAAGAATTCATTTCCTCTGTTGCATTGGCCATACTTCAAGTGGCAACTGTATTGAACTGTGCAGGTATAGAACGTATCTATTTAGTTTTAATTTTGAACAACATTGACTTTAGAAGAAAAGTATTATAAAAGATTTTAAAAAGTCACTTTATAATAATAAACAGCAGGGTATAACAAATTTAAAATTGTATGCATCTGGCAACATGCTTCAGAATACATAAAGCAAAAAATAACACAACCAAAAAGAAGATGCAAACGTACAACGTGGTGGATTTTAACATACCCCTGCCAGGAATTCCTAGATCAGCACAAACTTGCCTGGTGGGCATATGCAGAACACTGTTCCTTTTATTCTATCATACAGTCCCATGATGCCCCAACTTTTATTTCTCCTTGCTTTTCTTTTTGTGAGCATTCAGGGTTGTGGCAGCCTGGTTTCTCATGGGGTTAGGGCTGTGAAGGTGTGTCCCCATCTGAATGGGTCTTTGTTGTGTGTGTGTGGCTCAGGCAGTGGAGTCCATCCAGGCTGAGGATGAAAGCGCCAAACTGTGCAAGCGTAGGATTGAGCACCTCAAGGAGCACAGCAGCGACCAGCCCGCCGCGGCCAGCATGTGGAAGAGGAAGCGCATGGACCGCATGATGGTGGAGCACCTGCTGCGCTGCGGCTACTACAACACGGCCGTGAAGCTGGCGCGGCAGAGCGGCATCGAGGTGGGTCAGGGAATGTGCTCGAGGGGCAGGGATGTCCCGGGGTGGCTCTGCACAGGAGCCACCTGCTGTTTCCCACCTAGCATGCGTGTCTATGCCCTGGTTAGCAGTTTCCTCGTCAAGTTTCGGGGCCCCGCCCCCTTCGTGTAAACGTTCTAGGGTTTTAGCTTTTTGAAATAAGGAAGTCAGTATCTAAAAATGACTATAGGTGCTTCTCATTTGCTTTTGGTCATTTAAACATGCTCTGATTAGGAAAATGTGGAAAGGGATTTTCCCCACCTGATCTGCCTTTCCGGCAGTGACACACTTAGGCATGTTTCTGTCACTGCTTTATTATTGTGGGAGCTTTGGGTTTATCTCAGATATGGTGCATTTTCCATGCAGCTATTTTTTTTTCCCTAATTTTTTTTTTGTTGCCCAGGATAGAATGCAGTGACACCATCATCGCTCACTGCAACCTCAAACTCCTGGCCTCGAGCAATCCTCCCACCTTAGCCTCCTGAGTAGTTGGGACTACAGGCGTGCCACCGCACCTGGCTAATTTTTCTATTTTTTGTGGAGATGGGGTCTAACTCTTACTCAGGTTGGTCTTGAACTCCTGGGCTCCAGTGATCCTCCCGCCTCTGCCTTCCAAAGCGCTAGGTTTACAGCATGAGCCACTGTGCCCGGCCAAGTCTGTTTTAGTGGTATCAGTGTTACAGCTATAGAATTAAGCAACACTCTTGCCTTCAGAACATGTTCCAGCCGAGAACTTCTGAAAGAAGCATGCTGGGTGGTATTGAAGTTGTGGCCTCGGCTATTCTTGCCTGGCCTTTTCAGACTTAGCTGCAACTTTGGGCCCAGGTAGCTGGGGAAGGCCCCTCTGTTGTCGGGCAGTCACCCACCACTGTAGGGGGCCCGGGACAGTTGGAACCTTCCAGGCCAGCGTTGCATGCCTGGCCCTCATTCCTGTCCATATCCCTCCGTTGGTGCACAGCCTCACCTGTCTTCATGTGAGTGATGTTGTGTCCCTTCTTAACTGAAATGACAACATTTGGAAACCTCTAGTGGCAGAGTCTCTGAGAGCAGTGTCCCTTCATGGTCCTAGGTCCTGGGCAGGACACTCCCTAGCTGTCTCCTCTGACCACCCACTATGGCCTCTCCCCCTACCCAGCCATGTGCGTAGCAACCACCGAGTCTCCCCCCACCCTGAGGCTCCTTCCTCATGTCAGCCAGCCTCCCCACTACACCCTCCTCCCTGCGGCCTCTCCTCTGCAGCTTCCCCGCTGTGGCCTACCCACTGCACCCTCCTCACTGCAGCCTCGTCACTGTACCTCCCATCTGCAGCCTTCCCTCTGGCCTCCCTGCTGCACCCTCCCCTGTCTGCAGCCTCCCCCCTGCACCCTCCCCAGTCTGCATCCTCCCTGCTGTGCCCTTTCATTTATAGCCTCCCCTCTGCGGCCTTCCCACTGTGGCTTCTTCAAGCCCATTTTGGCCCCTCTGTCTAACCCAGGGACCCTGTCTCTTCTCATAGCTTAACTCCCACCATTTGTACGTGACTCCCATCTGGGATGTGATGGGCCTGAGCCCTGCCAACCTTAACCCCCACACAGGCACCTGTAGGGCCTGCCCGTCTACACGTGATGTGCTCTCTGGGCCTGGTGTCCACTCTGGACACCCCCACCCCATTCTTCCCTCGCCATCAGACTGACCTCTAAGAAAGGTGAGCTGGACACTGCTCCTCAGCCACCTCTCCCTGCTCACCTGCTCCAGCCCAAGGCCTTTGCCCCGAGCCTCACTCAGGCATCTCCCCAGAGCAGCCTTCCCCAACCACCTCGGGTAGAATGGTGTCCCCTTCCCTGTCTGTCCCTCTCCCAGCGTGCTTCAAGGTGCTTTCCTGCTTATGTCTGTGTCCTCTGTCTCACCCACCAGGAGGGAACTGTGTGTGGCTCTTTTTGTGTTCAGGTACACGATGTCCTCTGGGGGCAGGAGCCCCACTGAGACCTGTGCAGGTGTCAGTGTTGCTTCTGAGGCTGCCCTGTAGGGTGTGGTGTCCCCCGAGTACAAACGAGCTGACATGTCAGGGTGGAGCACCCATGGTCCTCCATCAGTGACCAGGGCTGGTGCTCCTGGACACCGTGCAGCCTTGACCAGCTTCTGGTGTCTCCACTCACAGACGTTCCCTCTGCCCCGGCTCCTCAAGGGCTCTCATGTGCACACGTAACATGCTCGTTCCCTGGCCTCGGTCGTCTCTGTCCTGCTCTGCTATGCTGCCCGCCTGAGCCCCTGTGGCCACCAGAAAGATCCCAGAGAGACAGAGACACGGAGGCTGCGCTAATGGAGGATACACAATTGGAAGTGGACATGTGGGCAGCAGACAGGCCAGGAGCCATCTCTTGGAATTTAGAGCAAAATCGAAAAGCGAAGTTGGAAAATAGGGAAGAAAACAAGACTTAAACTTGGTGAGGAAGACCCAATGTTCGGGTTCCAGAAAAGAGAGTGAATTGTCAAAGAAACAATATCAGAAAACACACTTGTGAGGCATTAAAGTTCCTTCTCCCCGCTTAATCAGTGGGGAAACGGAGGCACAGGAATGTGTGTATAGTTGTGGTGGCAGTCACACAATGGCACTTAATTTATGAGTTGTGGGCAAAGGACAACACACTAAGGGCCCAAAAGGACTAGGAAACTTGCCCAGGTTCCACAGCTGGGAAGTGTCAAAGCAGGGCTTGCACCTGGCCAGCCGGCTCCTGAGCTTGGGCACCTGTCCAGTGCCACAAGGCCACTGAGGGCCAGTTAGGTTCCAGCGCAGCTCTGGTCTCCAACCTCCAGGCCCCAGCACACCCCCATGGCCTCCTCCCCCATGTCCCCGAGTCCAGCGAGGCGTGACGCTGCAGGAGCTGCATGGTGACCTGTCTGGCCTTGCCATGGGCAGTTGGGGTCTTAAGCCATGTAAGGTCCCATAGTCCACCATGGCTCCTGAGGAAGGCCTGGTACCCCCAGGGGTCACTCATAAGGACCGTGGGCGTAGACTGCTCTAGAATGGGGCTGGCCTGAACTCTCACTGCCAGCCTTGCAGCGGCTGGTGAGGCCCAGGAGAGGGGCCTGGGTCACCTTGGAAGAGCTGGCCCTGGACAAATGGTTCCCTTTGGCCCAGGGGCGGGTGGGCTGCTCTCCTGCTGCCACAGCTGGACTCTGGGCACCCAGCCTGTGCTTGGCCACTTGCAGGGTCTTAATGCCAAGCCTGTGGGTTGCCTCATTTCTTCTTGTTTTCTTAATAAATTATTGGTTTTAACTGCTGCAATATTAGCCATAATGTGATTTTTTTTATTATGTGTTATTCACTTACTGTTTATTTTGAAATGGAAGGGCTGCCGGGAAGGGGGTGATGAGGCCAGTCCACATGTGTCCTCTACTGGCCCAGGTCCCCTACACCCCTGCAACAGGCTCAGCCTGGCTCCCCTGCCCAGGTAGCTGCTGTCTACGTGGCATGTGAGACCCACCAAGCTTCTCAGTCCTCGTGAGCTGTTCTGTTCCCAGGTCCGTGGGAAGTTCGGCACTCTCGCTCCCAGAGTTCCGGGCTATCCATGGACCCCTGAGGGGTCTCCATGAGCATGGAACTTGGGTGTGGACTGGAGGTGTGCCGTGAGCCGTGGCAGGAACTGGGCTGGGCCCTGCAGAGGCTGGGTGTGGGAGTGGCATGGGGTCCTGAGCCAGGTGATTCTAACCGGAGCCACCTCCTTCCTCTAAGGACCTGGTGAATATTGAGATGTTCCTGACAGCCAAAGAAGTGGAGGAGTCCCTGGAGAGGCGTGAAACAGCCACCTGCCTGGCCTGGTGCCATGACAACAAGTCCCGGCTCCGCAAGATGAAGGTGCGCGGGCTCCCGGGCGAGGCAGGGCTCCCTGCTGGGTTGGAGGAAGCTGCACCACCTGCCCTAGAACCAACGTGCCCTCTCCTGTTGCTTTGCAGTCATTTGGTTTTGGTGTAAAGTGGTAATTATTTGGTTTGCTGGGGGTTTGGTGGTGGTTTTCTACTTTTTAAGTTAAGACCCTGAAAAGTACACCTCCTTCTGCGTTAGGGTGTGGACTGGTGTTCGGGCAAGGGGTGGGGTGCAGGAGGCTGGCCAAGTGCAGGCAGCACGTTCAGGCTGCTGGGCTTGGAGCCAGGTGGCGGGTCGGTCCCACTCCACCTGAGCCTGTTCCGTGGTCCCCCAGCACTGAGAGACGTGGGAAGCTGGTCGGAAGTCCTTGTTCTCGTGAGGCTGCAGAGCCCTGGGCTGTGGTGTTCTTATTGAATACACACCTCTAGAGACCACTAGAGGATTGAGAAATAGGCTCTTAAATGTAAACTACAGACTTTAAACCTGCTTACTAAAAGATGTTGTTGCCTAGAGCTTGCAGAAATATTTTAACTTATTTCATCCAACCCCACCTCCATTAGAAATACTGTTTTCTGTTTTCTAAACTGAGCACTGCTCTTATATCACCCTGGTTGAGCTTGTTGGGGTCACATAGTCACCAGCCATGAGGGACCCTCTCTGCCACTCAGAGATGGGGTGAAAAGTACAGCAGCCTGTGGCTCCCCGCAGAGAATGAGGATCTTGGTATGGAGACCCTAAAAGGGAGGCCAGAGTTGGTGTTGACCCACCCCACACAGCGCCAGCCACACTCCCTCCCAGAGGGGATGCACCTCGCAGTGGAAGTTCTCCCCGGGTGTTTTCCTGTGAACGTCAGAGGGAAGATAGGATCCCTCCATCTTGACGGGATATTTCTGTAAGCCTAGCTACCTACCAGACAGCTGCTGGAGAGGCCTCGAGGCTGGCCCTGGCTATGCCACACGGGCTGCAGTCTGAAGCTAGCGTGGGGCCAGCCAGGTCAGAGACAAGAGCGCTGAGTGCACACCTGGCGAATGAGCGTTGCTTCAGTGTTTAAAGAAGTCAGGATTGAATGGAATAAAAATAGCTGTCCCCAAGTGCATCTTGAAGACTACCCAATGACATACAAACATGTCCATCTGGAATGTCAGCTGAACACAGCCAGATACACGATGTCTGTGCAGTCCGTGTGCACATGGGAGCCAGGGAAGAGCCACACACTGCACTGATGGGTCCCTCAGGGTAGTCTTGAGCATCTAGATGGGAGAAGAAACTTTTGAGCCGCAAGTTTCATGTAGTCGGAAAATAATTTTTAAAATAATGGGATACCAAGTCAGTATCTATTGGATTGACTTGGGGCTCTTGACCCCGCAGGACAGCAGAAGCAGTGGTCTGTGTGATGCATGTCTGTGAAAGTGCCAGGCCTGTCGCAGAGTGTGCACAGTGCAGTTGTTGTTGCACAGTTTGTGATCGTGTGGACTCATGGTATTGAGTCTGAATACCTAATTTTCACTACATATACATACTTACCTATTAGTGAACTTTTAGTGAAAATTAACCCACTAGAGCAAAGAGCTGTCATAAGTAATAAAGGGTTTAAAAAGTCCATTTTGTAAAGCAGTAACCTAGAGTTTACCCAAAGTACTGCCCTTCTAGAATGTCCACACAGTGGCTCCTTCCCACTTTTCGGCAGCTGAATGACACCACCTGCTGTAGAATCAGCGGTCATTGGGGGGCCCCTGGGAGGCAGCTAGGGCCCGAGGAAGGCGTGGCCCAGGTGGGGAGAATAGACAGCCGACCAGAGTCCGTCCACCTATCAGTGGGGCCAGGGCTCGGAGGGAGCCCTGTTGGTGACCTTGTTCCTCCTCACTGGTTTGTACCAAAGCTGGTACTCACACGGAGTCAGACAGACTCCTGCCGCAGCTTGGAGCAAGCAAGGGAATTCTGTGTCCCACCTGTATACTTGTCTGCCTGGGTGCTGAGGGGTGGGCTGAGGGCATGGGGATGGGAGGAGAGGGGGTGAGGGACACCCCCCTCCATCCATCCTTGCTCTGAGCACCTGTTGCATGGCATGTCTATGTCCTACTCCGGAAGGTAAGTGGCTCTCTGGTGCTCTGGCTGGCTCTTGGGTCTGGGCAGCCCAGCCCACCCTCAGAGTCGCTGTTGCAGGTACCCGTGTGTTGAGCATGGGGCTGGCAGGCGGGGTGGGCCAGGGTGAAGGACAGTCCCTCATAATACCTGTGTACACGTGGCGGAGGCTAAATGGGAAAGGACTTGTTATGGACAAGCTTTGAATTTGAGTTTTAGACATTGGGGGTTGATTTATTTGCTTGCTGTGTAGAATTTCTGTTCATGCCATCTTGTGATCTGGAGGCTATGGAACTCAGAATGACAAATGAGAACCGTAAGACCTGTCTTATTCAATTCACTCCATATATCCCGTTTCTGGTGGATAGCCCTGAGTATGCTCTGAAACCATGTTGAAGACCTTAAGGTTTAAAACATCCCTTTTGTAAAATCTAGCTTCTCATCCAAGATGGCAAAAGTTAATTTTGCTGCTTACCCCAACCACAAGAGTTTCAGCCCAGACTGGCTTGATATCACTAAGGTTTCAGAGTTAGTACGGGCTTCTGTAGTATTTCCTGAGTCACAGACAGAGCTCTTGTGGCAGACGCACCTTGGGACTCAGTCCTGCCAGAGCCTAACCCCTAACCCTGGCCTTCCCACCTCTGGCATAGTGCCCTCCTCTTGGCAGCCCCGAACCCAGCCCTCTCTCCCTCCTGCCCTTTAGGGGAACCGCCCCTCACCATCTGGACCTGGGCCTCAAAGTTGAGACAGGAGCTTATACCCTATGTGCCTGGGCCTGGGCGCTGGCTCTTGTACCTGCAGCCTTCTCCCCGGGCATATGGCTCCTCACCCATAAGTCTTTGCTGGAGTGTTCCCTGCTCGGCGAGGCCTGGGGCTACCACTCCCCGCTTGTAACCGCTTCAGGCTCCCCTGTGAGGCAGCACCCCACACCTGTGCCTTTGGGCACCATCTCCTCTCCACAGGTGTCTCCCAGCGTAGTCTCTGGCATGGGTGGCACGCAGTTCCTACTGTAGGACAGAATGTTCCAAGGTCCAGGGGGATAAAGGAGCACATTTAGGTGAAGAAACTTTTGGAGTGTGCTCATGTGCTTTTAAGACTGTGATGACATTCGAGTAGAACCCAGAAAGCCCCTTTGTCCTTGAGGAGGGGTTGGTGCCTTTCCTTCATGTAGTCACGTGTCTTGTGAGCTGGGGACAGCCCCTTGCAACCTCCCGTGGCTCCTGCTCCACCCTCAGGGACACCGTTTCTGGGTTTCTGTAGCTGCTGAGTGGCTGTACCTGCTGCTTCCGCTCTCCCCGCTCCCCCCAGGCCTGAGCTCCTGGGTACGTCCTCAGTCATCAACTCTGGGGTTACAACGTGGGGCTGTCATACCCTGCTGTGGCTGTGTGAGAAGGGCCTGGGCTCTGATTCTGAGAACCAAGTTGGTCCTGCTAGAAAGAGTCTGCTGCAGCTTGAAGTGGCAGTTTGGGCGTCCACCTGCCTTCCAGGTGCCTGTCTGAGGGGCTCAGGGCTTTGGTCTTGGGGTCTGCTGGTGGACACGGCATAGCATGTGGTGTGCTGTCTAAGTTCTGCTCTTGTCTTTGCCCTCAGAGCTGCCTGGAGTTCAGCCTAAGGATTCAGGAGTTCATTGAACTCATCCGGCAGAATAAGAGACTGGACGCCGTGAGGTAGGACATTGCGATGCAGGCGCGGTTTCTCATGGGAGGGCAGGACGCTCGCTGCGGCCCTGCCTGCCCTGTCCTCTTGTGGTCTGGGTTCTGGGGGAGGAAGTACAGGGTGCCCCATGGGTTTTCAGTGTGACCAGCCCTGTCTGATCGGGCAGCGTGCTTCTCTCACTGTTTCTGGGGGGTAGGGGTGAGGCCTGGAGCCCGGGCGATACCCCTAACCAGGGTATGGTCACAAGTGGGTATCTAGGCCCCCACGGCTATCAGGTGAGCCAACTTTGGCATCATGACCATCCACGTAAAACATGTGGACACAGGGCTCTGGGTCCCCTGTTCTCATTTGGGAAAATGCCGTCCGCTCCTATAGCCCAGGAGTATCCGTGTCATGCTTGGTCCTTAGTTTGGGGAATTCCCCCATGGTCACCTGGAGAACATTGATGGCACACAGCACCCCGGGCTTCCTGCATGGGCATGTCTGAGTTTCCTTGGACTATTTCTGACCGAAGGGTATCAATGGGCTTGGGGCAGGGTGCAGGGCACTGAGGCTGGCTGCACACGTGGCCTCAGCCTGGCGGGGCCCTGGCAGTCAGGCATAGGGAGTGGAACGCTGGCCGTCGCTCCTGCTCAGCCTCACTGGGGCCCAAGGTGTTCACAGCGTGAGAGAGGCCAGGTGCTGACTTCCCACTCACTCCTAAGCTGGGTGGCGCTGGGCGTCGTGAAGCCTCCCCGTGCCTGGCCTGGGCGGTGCTGGTCAGTGGGTGCTCTCCACATCTGCAGGCAGAGGCAGCGGCAGCTCCTTTAGTGCAGGGTCTTCTGGCTCATGTTTGTTGAGTCCTCCAGTGAAACCTCGCACTTTGTGGGTAGGGCGGCTGTGGTGGGGCCGTGACTGGGCTGTAAATGGTGTGGCTGCGGGTGCCTGGACAGCAGGGGCTGAGCTACCTGGTGAGTCTGCCCAGGTGCATGTGCAGCAGAGATGCTTGCCAGGAGGTGGGCACCGCCTGTGGTAGCCGGCACCTGCCACAGAGGAGGTGGATAACGGCTTCCCACAGAGGAGCCACAGGGAGAAGCAAGAGTCCCGAGATGGGATGGCAGTAAGTCCTCGTGGCCAAGTCAGCAGGGTGTGGGACCGCAGGGCTCAGGTCAGGGAGTCCGGGTGTCTGAGCACCTGCTCTGTGCCTGGCACGGGATGTGTGCAGCCGGTGGATGGGGTGTGCCAGGCTATGCTGGCTGCAGCCTGGGGGTGTCCCCCGTAAGTCCCTGGGACACTTGGGAGGCATAAGAGCAGGTGGAGCAGGATGTCACTTTGGTGGATCCTAAAGCGACATGGCAAAATATGTACAGGTATTGAGGGGCTTCTATATTCTGTTTGTATTCTCACAAATGGAACCTGGCAGAGGCGCTTGTGCCATCAGGCAGGTTTCCTGGGAGAGGTGGGGTCAGAACAAAGGTTGGAAGGTTGGCACCTTGCACTGGGGCCGAGGACCCTGATGGGAGAGGTGCAGAGTGCAGGCCTCAGGCTGGTGCGGACAGGGCTGAGGCAGGAGGGAAGGGCCAGCTGGGTCCAGGCAGGCAGGACAGGTGTGGCTGGAGCTGATCATATGGTACGTGTCCCGTGGTTGTCCTCGAGGGAAGGCAGAGAAGTTGGGCCACAAGTCTGCTGAGGGCTCTGGCTGGGCCCTCACGCCGGGTGCCCTATACAGAGCAGCATTCACCAGGTGAGCTTGCAGAGACCTTCTGCTGGGGACAGTGGAGAGGCTGGTCCCAGCCTGCAGGAGCTGCCTGCCTGCCCACTGCTGAACTCAGTCCACGGGGGTCACTGGCACATGGGGCCCAACTCCAGGACTGCGGCTGCCCGGCCCTGGGTCAGGGTGCGGTCAGCAAGGGTGAGGTCCTGCCTGGCCTCCTGCACCTGAGTCTGGAGCCGGCCAGACCAGGCTGTGGACTTCCGCCCTGCCCCAGGTGTTTGTGGGTTTGCCAAATGTGAAAGTATGAGCTACTGTTGATCACTTTTTAACATTTTTAATTGTTAATAAATGAGTAAGCCAATGCCTGACCCCAGGTGGCTGGGACATGGCGTGCACTTCACTGGCTTTTGTGTGGAGGATGGCCTGGCTGGGTGTAGTTTATGTAGTTAATCGTATAGGTATTTTTGTCATACATGTTCATGTGTTTAAAGAAAAACTGTCATTGTTTCTTATATTGGCCGCGTGGTGTCTGTTGAAGAAAGGTCTTGGCTCTGTGTCACCAGCTGTGGATGCATGCTGGGTTGCTTCCGCTTCATCTGCTTTTCCTCATGCCTGTCTGACAGCACCTGGGAGCAGCTCTCTGGCACTGGGGCTGTCTTTTGTTATTGTAAGGTCCAAGGAGTGTCACTACCACTTTTCCTGTTTTCTGTTTCTGTCTTGGTGTCAGGATTTGTAGATCAGGGAAATAGTGTTATGTGGTTGTCCAGCTTGGTTTTAGCAAGGTGGGAGACAGTGTGTCCTGCGTTTTTGCTTGGTAGGACAAGAAATGTAAACCAGATCATGCATTTAGTTGAATTCATAGATACCGAACAAATGTAACCAAAGAGACTAAGTAAATTATCCCTTTTAACTAGGTCTGGGAAGAGGCAAGATGGCCAGTTAAGTGAACCAACTCCATTTGGACCATATTCTCTGCAGTTTTTCAGGGACAGAAACGGTGGGGAGGGGAGATTGAGGTGTTGTTTTTAGGGGCAGAAGCTGCACCGGAGCCTGCACGGGTAGCAGAATGACGAATTTAGTCTTTGATGAGGGAATTAGGGTATCCCGTGGGGCCTCCTGCTGGATGAGACTCATGTCCATGCCTGCCCACAGCTCGTGGGGGTGCCGAGGGCATCTCAGGCCTCACTGGTCCCTCCCACACTCACCCCTGTGGGTAGACAGCGTGTGGGCCTGCTCCAGTGCGTCCTGAGCCCAGACTCTGGCCCACCCCCCCACCGCCGTCCTTTTGGTGCTTCTGCCTTGTGGCCGCCTTGCTGTCCCTCGGGCTGCTCAGCCCCTCCCACACCAGCTGCAGTCCAGCCCCACGTTTTCCCTGAGGCTGCCATGAGCACCGGCACCTCCAGGCTTTGTCTTTGTCCTTTGCGTACCTTGTTGCTGACACAGCTCAGCGCCGACCTCATATGGGACATGGGCCCTGATTCTGCTGCATTGGCCCCGATCCCTGGGGCAGAGGGGCCATTTTGGGGAGAAGGGCTCTGAGTGCAGAGGACATAGTAGTGGACCAAGGGCATATGTGAGGGCAGGTGTGCTCTCGGGACTGCCAGAAGGTGGTCACCACCAGTGCCCAGTGGCCTCATCCAGAGGGAGCACTTGGGAAGGAGTCCAGTGTTTAAGGTGCTTGAGAATGGGGCCCTTGAGGTGAGCAGGTACCCATCAGCACTGTCATGTTCTGCCTCAGTCTTCCAGCTGGGCAGGAGCTGGCCTGTGTGCATCCTACAGTGTGTCAGCTCAGGAGAGGCGGTGGCCACACGTGATGTTTGCACACTCGGGGCTGAGAGGGCCTGGCTAGAGCTGTCGGGGAGTCCAGTCTGTGCACCCGAGCGAGGCTGTTATTTTTTGTGGGGTTATGCTGGGAGCCACTGCAGAGAGGGAGGGGCCACAGGGTGAGCATCCAGGGCAATTAGAATCAGGGCTTTGGCTTCCTTGTAAACCAGAGTTGCCTTAGAGGGCTCCAGGCAGGGGTTTTCTGTGTGGGGTTCTGCGTGTGCTGCGTGTGCCCGCCCCAGGGGTGCCTGTGCGCCTGCTCTCCCAGACCCTGGTCCCCAGCAGGTCAACTCGGAGTGAAGTACCTACTTTGTACCTAGACTCTGACATAAAGACTGTTAGCTCAGATTCTTAAATTTGAAAATGCGAACTTAAATGTGCCAAAATGTTGTTTTTTAGACATGCAAGAAAGCACTTCAGTCAGGCTGAAGGGAGCCAGCTGGACGAGGTCCGCCAGGTCATGGGCATGCTGGCCTTCCCACCAGACACACACATCTCCCCGTACAAGGTAACGTCTGCGCGCCCGCCGTGCAGCTTCTTGCTGGCCCTCGGGGTTGAGGTGTCCATGTCAGGGGTTGAGAAGGTGCCTGCCGTCTGGGATCCTGTCTATAGCTGCTTCCACGGAGCAGGGCCTGTCCTGGCCACATATCCTGTCAGACCTGCCCAGCCAGCCGGTTCTTGTTTTATTGCCATTTTATGGGTAAGAAATGTGAATCTGAAAGGTTCGGGAAGCATCTCAGCCTAGCAAGTTCAGCTGGGGGGGTGGGGAGAGGGTTTTCTCACCTGATTCCTTTGCCATTTTGCCTTCCTTTTTCTCTTTCTTCCTGTAGTCCCTCAGTCAGAGTCAGACCAGCGTGGTCTGTGTTTCTCTTACCGGTATTTTGTATTTTATCTGTAAATGTTGGAGTCTCTGTGGCACTAGCAGGGGTCTCATGCTGGTTCTGCCTCCTTTGGCCATTCCTGGTTCCTGGGCGTTGCTCCTCCACTTGTTGTGGTCTTCCTCTTCTCTGCCTTAGGGTCACTGGTCTTTGGTCCTCAGCCCTCCTGCTGAGGGTCACCTGTTCTTTGACCTTGTGGGTTGATGTGGGGCCTCATGAGGATGTAGTCATGCGCCATCACTATCCAGGTGCCCCATGCTGTGACCCGGCCCTACCAGGCGGAGCCCTGGCTGCTCCCGTGTTGGGGCGGCTCCGTGGCATTGCAGGAGCCAAGCTCACCATGTGCTCGCCTAGCTGGTAGTGGTTTCAGTTCCTGGGCAGGGAATAAAGTATGATCTCTTACTCATGGAATTGGTGAAGTTTGTTGTCTGGGCCATGAAGCTGGTCTCTGTCAAAGGCCAGCATGTTTGCCCTGTGGCCCCCACCCACCCCATGGGTTTGGTGTATCAGGACCACCCACCCAGGGGTGCCAGCAAAGCTTTGCGCAGCTGCTGCCCACTACCGATGGAAGGCCGCCGAGAGCTCTCTTGCCCTGACTGAATTCACACAGATTGGAGGCGTTTGGGACATATTATAATAAAAAACTACCAGGTCACGAGGATCTTCAGGTGTCAAGTCTAAACTTCTCAGATTTTAAATCAGCATCTTATGTTTCTCCTACTTGTTCTGGAGAAGACTTGGTTAGAGGTGCAAGAAAGACTGACTGCCTGTGGGGTGAGATGTGTGGCTTGGCGGGGGGCGTCGAGCACATCTCCTCCTGGCGGTGGCCTGACAGTGGCAGTGAAGAGTGAGGCAGGTCCTGCTGTCCCACCACCTCGGGAACAGCACGGGCATCCTCCAGAACAGAGCCCGTCCCCTCTGCATGGGGTTCCCCAGTACAACTGCCATGCCCACCCACTGCCTGGGATCCAGGCTGGCAGGATGCCAGGAGCAGCCCATCACGCTGGCTTCTTAACTATGAATGAGGGATTTGGCAACACAGGAAAGAAAGACCAAGATACACACGGGAAAACCTTGGCTTGGGGGAACAGGCCATTTAGGGTACAGAAAACTTGAGAGTTGAGGCAGTGCTGTGTCTGTGTCTTGGAATCACGGAGCAGAGAGCCAGTGCACTCTTAAGGTTCTCACAGTCACCATAGGAAGGAACAGGCCATGTCTAAATAGGTCTCTTTGTTCAGAGAAAGGCAGCAGCCATCAGAGGTCTGAAGGCAGAGGGTTAGGGGAGTGGAAGGTACCAGGAGCTGCTACTTTTCACTAAGAACCTTCTGAACTGTTGGTTTCATCCTGTGTAGACTTTGCTTTGATAAAAATAAGACTAACTTTTTAAAAATGTTGGAGTTAAGCGTAATGTTTTCCCCAAACTCAGACTAAGGAGCTCACAAAGAATGGCTCATGGCGCCCCTGGTGACAGCCTCCCTTCCCCAGTGTGGCATCTGCTGGGCAGCCAGTCACTGGGGGCCTTTCTGGGTTCCTGCAAAAGTTTTCTCTCTTGCTTGCATGTGTACTTGTGCACGCACTCTGACGCGTGCGCGCTGAGTCAAAACTTGAGGTTTCTTAGGGACAGACATTAATCAGATTTAATTTTCTGTTCTGTGATGCTTTAACCCAAGGAGGAGTGGCTGTTTTCCATCTAACAGATCATTTCTCTGAAGTAAGACTTTTCCCTTTAAACCTAATGCTCTGAAGCTCACTCTGGGCCGTGCTGTCCGTCTAGCCCATTGAGTCCATTTTTTGTCGCAAGGCCACGGGATCCACACATTCTGGACCATTTGAATCGATTCACATACAGGTGAATGTAAATGCAGAAAGCTAAGTTGATAGTGGTCCTGCAGTGTGTTTTAAACCAAGACCCTGGGGAGCTCCACTTTGTGCTGACCTGTAGGGCAGAAGTGTGTGGGGAGGGGTGGGAGGAAGAGGGCGGACACCTACTCCCAGCACAGCCACTGCAGACAGCTGTCCCTCCTGGGCCTCCCAGGAGCTGTCCTGGGAAGGTTCCCAGCATGCTCTGCCCTCTGTCTTCTAGGACCTCCTGGACCCAGCCCGGTGGCGGATGCTGATTCAGCAGTTCCGGTATGACAACTACCGACTGCACCAGCTGGGAAACAACTCCGTGTTTACCCTCACCCTGCAGGCTGGCCTCTCAGCGATAAAGACACCGTATCCTCCCCCTTGTGCTTAGCCCTGCTTAGTCTGAGGCTTGTGTCTTTGGTCACATTTTAAGACTGACCCTGCACCTTACCACTCTTGTCCTCTGAAAACATGTGCTGCAGCCCACTGCGGAAAGATCCAGGCTCCTGCCTCTTGCTGTGCCTGCACAGTGTTGAGAGGAGCCTCAGACCCACGCGAAAAGGCTATGAGAACCTGGACTGCATCACCCCCATCTGATAATCTCAGCTGTTGCTGTGGACACCTCATGTTGACCTAAAAGCAAATGTTTGCATATGTTCTGGCAGCTGGAACATTAACCATTCAGAGTAGTTTCCCCATTTGATTCCCAGGAATGCTATAGAACTTGAGTGGTCTGAACCCTTGCTGTGCTAGGAGGGGGTTTTTCTTCTCAAATTAGCTCATAAGAGGTGGTCCTGTCTCGGCAGAGAGGCAGCCACCTTCTCCAAAGAGCACCAAGACGCCAGGCCCCAGACACTGTCTGCATCTCCATGTGGATCTGATAGCTCCCTTAAGTGCGAGTCTTAGTCCCCTCTGGAACTGCCACCTTGCTGTGGCACCAACAGACCTGCTAGTCCCCTTCTCATAGCACCACCATCTAATGCTGGGCACCTCAGCAGTCCCGACGTGTGGCAGGACTCAAGTCCTGTCGAGGAGGACTCAGTCCCCCATGTGATTAGCCCTGTCCACCGTGCCACTGGCCCTGTCCCCCTGTGATAGGCAAGGGCCCAGAGGGTAGTAAGTGTCCTGGGATGACTCCTGGGACCCGGCTATTTTGGGCTTTGAATCCTGGCTCCAGCCCCTGGTTCTTCCTGTCTCTGTAGCACCCTGTGGAGGAGGAGCTTGTATGTTTGTGCACTGCCTTTTCCCTGTTCCGGGAGAACGTTTCTCTCGGCTCCCACCTGTCTTGCCAAGAGGTTGCAGGGGATGGGACAGGACACGTGGACGGCTGAGCCGGCATGGCAGGGCCCTGGGGTAGGGTAGTGCTCTCACCTCTTTATCCCCAGTCAGGCTCCACTCAGGCTGGTTTTTTCCCATCAAATGGAACATTTTCTTCACCGTAGAAGATAGCCCTATGTGTTTTGTGTGTGGTGCCAGAGTGGCCAGGAAGGGCCTTGTCTCACCCTGGCTTCCCTGATAGGCCCCAGAATCCTTCCTTAACCCGATGCACAGACAGTGCTACAAAGAAGATGGCAGTTCCAAGAGCCCAGACTGCCCTGTGTGCAGCCGCTCCCTGAACAAGCTGGCGCAGCCCCTGCCCATGGCCCACTGTGCCAACTCCCGCCTGGTCTGCAAGATCTCTGGTGATGTGATGAACGAGAACAACCCACCCATGATGTTGCCCAACGGCTACGTCTATGGCTACAATGTGAGGGGCAGGGAGTGGGCAAGGCTGGCAGGTGTCATATCAGGGCAGGGCTGTGTCGCGCCCCGCCCCCCCCCCCGTCTGGGCCTGGTGCACCGCTCTTAGCTGTCATTTGAAAGTGGGCAAAGGGGTGCGAACAACAGGTGAGCAACCCCAGGTTTTCTTTGACAGGTGTACCTTCAGGAAGTAACTTTGCATAATAGCATGGCTTATCCCCTTATAATTCCTTATGTGGGTTTTTAGCAGAAATCCTAATGTATATTGTGTTAGTCTAATGCATTTCCGGTCTTACTTTTCAGTCTCTGCTTTCTATCCGTCAAGATGATAAAGTTGTTTGCCCAAGAACCAAAGAAGTCTTCCACTTCTCACAAGCCGAGAAGGTGTACATCATGTAGGCCCTGCGTCGCCAAGCACACGCCCTGGGGGCAGGGGCCACCGCGGGCAGGGGCCAGGCCCCTCCTGCCCCACGCTCAGCCTGCCGCAGCGTTTCTGTTTCTTGCGACCAAAGATCAATGAGCAATGACAAATACTCTTAGGAAGAAAGGAAATAAGATTTAATAAGTTTGTACTTGAAAACATTTTGATTGGTAGGATTTTGTAACATAAGTCAACAATTTGATGCTTCTGAAAAGTACTTTCAACTTTGAAAGGAAACGTTTCTTTAAAGACTGACCTAAACGCCGAGGGAAACTCTAGAACATTTCAAAAATAGGAATCCATGGTTTTCCTCGTGTTTCCTCCCTTCTACTGAAGATGAGACTTGGAGAAGGGCTGGTCCTTCACCAAACTACGTTGGCCCTGGCACGGCCTGGGAGAGGTGGTGACTGCGGTGGTCTGACCTGCAGTGACCCGAGATGCGGTGCCAGGAGGGTCACTCATGACTTCATTCTAGAGCTGCTGCCAAAATGCCTGGTGCCACAGCCTGTGGGGGCCTGGCTTTGAGGACTGCCCCACTTGCCTTGTGGGCAGTGCCTGTGGGACTATCTTAGTATGTGCATAGGTTCAATATCACATCTCTCGTGCGCCGCCTTATTTCCTGCTTTGAGAATGTATTCACATGGAAATCCACTGGACCGAGTTTCTGCAGAGGCCTTGCTGGATGTTTCCATAACTTTAGAGTCTAAATACTATTCATTACAGAAACTAATAGTTCAGTTGAAATAAGTACTGATGACTTTTCAAAACAAATGAACCATTGTAGTTTACACAAAACCATATTGTAGAGGTTTGTATTTAGCACTTATTTTTGCATGTTGATGTTGATTAGCTAATAAACTGTAAATGTAAAACATGTTAATAAAAGGGTTTTCTATTTCTTCTTTCTGTGTGAGGCAGAAGCTACTGTGCATTTCTGACACTCTTGAGTTGTATTCTCCCCTCTGCCTGGTCGACGTGGCCATGTTGGGCCTGGGTTTGCCACGTGTAGCCAAAGGAGGGCTCAGGGTGCGGCTGGAGACCACACCAGCCCAGGAGCTTCCTGAGGGACGATGGCACCAGCATCTTGAGTCCTGAGGTCAGAGCTGGCTCCTGGCAGGAGGCACAGGCCTGGGGTGTGGCCCTGGCCTGGTTGGAGGACTGACAGGCTCTGAGAGTGGCTCCAGCCCTTGTTCCTGTGTTTGTCTGTTATGGGCAGGGGCTGGGGTCCTGAGCTGGGGAGGGGAGGGGCTGAGAAGGCCTGCAGGCCACGGCCACCAGCCCCCACACCCCTCACTGCCCGGTCTCTCCAGGGCCCTGTCCCCCACTCCCCTGCTCCCCAGTTCTGTGGCTGGCCTTGCACCCCTCAGCCTTGATTCTTCCTCATGTCAGCTGCCTTGGCCACTCCACCCCCGCCATGCTTCTGGGGCCCAAAGTTGGTTACACGTGTTCCACTAATGGAAGCAGGCACTTGTGCTGCCCCCTGCTGGCCTCTGCTCCTTCTCCACTGGCCTCGTCCCAGTGAAGCCACAGCCTCCAGGCCACCACCCTGTGCTCTGCTGTGGTGTCTCCCTGTGACTTAGGCAGTGCGCATTGGCCGCGTACCGCCATTCGGCACCTCTACACTCAGGCAGGGGTTATGGCTGGCCTGGTGCCCACCTCCTCCACCCCTAATGCCTGCCAAGGGAGATGCAGGGGCATAACGGCACTTCTGTGCCCTCCAGGTGTGCCCAGGACCCAACTAAGCCACCCTTGGCCGACTGCACACCCAGTCCTGATGCTGGTGACCTGAGCAGCCTGGGCTGTCGTGAGCAGGGTCTTCTCCTGCCTTGCCTCCCCCTCCTGTCTCCTGTTCTGTTGAAGCGTAACGTATTGGAGCACACACATAATGAATTTCTACATCACGTGTGCATCTGACCACCATGTAGACTGCTCTAGCTTCCCAGTCAGTATTCTGGCAACATCATTAATCACCAGAGTCGCTCAGCCAGTTCTTGAACTGCATAAAAATGGAGTCCCATGGGGTGACCTCCCTCAGCTTTGTGCCTGGGTGCTTTGTGTTTGGGACGGCAAGCTTCCATTCTATTCAGAGCTGTGTGTCCCCTGTCAGAGGAGCGAGCACAGTGGCTCATGCTTCTACATGTTATCTGGAAACATCTGGGTTGTTTCCAGATAAGCTGCTGTGAACACTTTCCTACATGACTTTTGCTGGACGCATGTTTATGTGGAAAGATACTGGGGAGTGGCATTGCTGGCCATGTTTAGCTTCAGCAGATGCTGACAGTTTGCAAAGTGGCTTCACTAGCTTCTACCCATCAGCAGTGCATGGGAGCTCTGCCTGTTCCATGGCCTCACCACTGCTTGGCACAGGGAATCTTTGGACATTCCGTTGGTTGTGAATGTTATCTCAATGTGTTAATTGAGGTAAAAATTATGTAAAGATGCACTATCTTAAGTAAATACTCAGTATGTCTTAATAAATTTATACCTACATGTAACCACCACCTAAGCCCAGGTGTAGAACATTCCTATGACCCCAGAATGCTACACCTTGTATCACCCAGGGCATCCCCAACCCCTACACCATCATTGCTCCGATTTGATCACCATAGGTAAATTGTGCCTTCATGGGAATCAAATCATAGTGTCTGTACTCTTGTGCCTGGCTTGTTTCACTCAACAGATGCTTTTGAGATTCAGCCACATTGCTGCACGTATTGAGTTCCTCCTCTGTGTACTGAGTAGCAACCACAATAGTATCCACATTTATGTATACCACAGCTCGTTATCCATTCTCTTCTCGATGAACATTTGGCTGGTTCCCTGTTTTTGGCTAGTATGAATAAAGCTGTTATGAACATTTGTGTACAAGTCCTTTTATAGACGTTATTTTCGTTTCTTTTGGAAAGAATTCTCTGGAAGTAGAATTTCTGAGTCATGTGTATAACTGTACAGCTGCCGAAGACTTTTCCGAAGTGGTGGTGGCATTTTAGAGTCCCACCAGCAGTGTGTGGGTCCAGTTGCTCCACATCGTTGCTAGCAGTCGATGCTGTTCTTTTTCATATTAGCCATTCATGTGTGTGTGCTGGTATCTCACTGTGGTTTTAATTTGCTTTTCTCTGAAGACTAACGGTGTTGAGCTTCTGATGTGCTGACTGGTTATTCATACATCTCTTCAAATCTTTCGCCCATTTTTAATTGCATTATCTGATTGATTTGTAGGAATTCTTTACATATAAATCCTTTGTGGATAGATGTATTTACGTTTTATTGTCGGTGCCATTTGATCAGCAGAGGTTTTAATTTAGCAAAGTTCAACTTACTAATTCATTCTTTCATGGCTAATGCTTTTCTATGTTCTAAAAAAATATTTGCCAATCCCAGGGTCACAATGTTCTCTTATACCTTCCAGAAGATTTAGTTTCAGCTTTTATGTTTGGTCTGTAAAACATCTCAAATTAAGTGTGGTCTGAGGAAGAGCTTGAGGATAATTCCCCACCCCGTCCCCATACGTTCATTCTCTTGTTCCAATGTCGTGTTAAAAAGACCTTTCTCTTCCCTGTTGAATAACGTTGGCTCCTTTGTTTAAAAAAACAAAAAGTCTCCTGGCTCCATAAGTTTGGGTTTATTTCTAGATACTATCTTCTGTTTGATGGACCTTCAGGTCTAGCCTTATACCAACACTGCATTATCTTGATTCTTGTAATTTTTTTTTTTTTTTTTTGAGACAGTCTCACTCTTTTGCCCGGGCTAGAGTGAGTGCCGTGGCGTCAGCCTAGCTCACAGCAACCTCAAACTCCTGGGGCTCAAACAATCCTCCTGCCTCAGCCTCCCGAGTAGCTGGGACTACAGGCATGCACCACCATGCCCAGCTAATTTTTTCTATATACTTTTAGTTGTCCGATTACTTTCTTTCTATTAGTAGAGACGGGGTCTCGCTCTTGCTCAGGCTGGTTTCGAACTCCTGAGCTCAAACAATCCGCCCGCCTCGGCCTCCCAGAGTGCTAGGATTACAGGCGTGAGCCACTGCGCCCGGCCTAGTGAAATTTTTTTTAAAGCCTGCTGGAATTTTATTGGAATTGCATTTAACCTACAGATCAATTTGGGGACTGTATTCATTTGCTTGGGCTGCCATAATAGAATAGCACAGACTTGGTGGTTTAAACAACAGAAACTTATGTCCTCACAGCTCTGAGGGGATGCTGGCAGCACTGGTGCCTGGTGAGGCCTCTGTCCCCGGTTTGCAGATGGCCACCTTCTCACTGTCTTCATATTCTATGCTTTCACATCTTGGGTGTGTCTTCCTCTTGTAAGTGCATCAGTCCTGTCGGATTAGGGCTCCAACCTTAGGATCTCATTTAACTTTATTATCTCCTTAAAGGCCTTCCCTCCAAATAAAGTCACATTGGGAGTTAGGGCTTCAACATACTCACTTGGGGCAAGGGGAGGACCTAATTCATCCTTAACAGGGACTTAAAAACCTTAACAATATTGAGTCCTCAAAATGACGAATATGGTGTATCTTTGCATAGATTTAGATCTTTCTCTTCCTAAGTTTTATAGTTTTGAGTATATATATTTTGTTAATTTAACTATTTCATGATTTTTAATGCTATTGTGAATTTATTTTTAAAATTTAACCTTCCAATTGTTCATTGGTACTACATGGACATGTAATTGATTTTTGTGTATTGCTCTTGTACATACTGTGACCTTACTAAACTCATTCTTTGGTTCTAGTAGCTTTTTGGTAAATTTTTAATGATTTTCTATGGACATAATTAAATCATCTGCAAATAAAGACAGTTTTGCTTCTTCTTTTCTAATCTCCATGCCTGTCATTTCTTTTTCTCTTATTGTACTAGCTAGAGCCTCAGGTACGATGTTAAATAGGAGGGGTGAGATGGACATCCTTACCTTAGTTCCAATCTTAGGCAGAAAGCATGTCTTTCACGAGTAAGTATGATGTTTGCTGTAGGTTTTCTGCAGATGTCCTTCAACATGCTGAGGACGTTCCACTCTAGTTTCCAAGTTATCAGGAATGGGTGTTGAATTTTGTCAAATGTTTTTTTCTTCATATAAAGATACTACCACATGATTTTTCTCCTTTATTCGGTTTATATGGAGAATTATTAATATGTTGATTTTGAATTATTAAACTTTGCATTCCTGGGATAAATCCCATTTACTGGTTATATTTGTTATATATTGCTGTTATATACTTGCTGGTACTTCGTTAGGGAATTTTTGCAACTGTGTTCATGAGTTACTGGTCTGTGGTCTTTTTTTTCTTGTAATGTTTTTGTCTGGTTTTATAATAGTTGTTGGGGTATTCAAAACTCATGAAGTGAGTTGGAAAGTGTTCCTTTCTCGTGTATTTTCTGAAAGAATTTGTGTAAAATTGGTATTTCTTCCTTAAATATTTGATAGAATTTAACAGTCAAACCATCTGGGTTTGGCATTTCATATGTGGGAAGGTTTCTAATTATGAACTCAGTTTCTTTAGTAGTTACAAGACTAATCATGTCTTTTTCTTCTTAAGTTTGTTTTGTAATTTTTGTCATTAAAGAATTTGTCCATTTTATCTAAACTATAGAATTTGTTGGCATCAAGTTGTCCATAACCTACCCTATTACTATTTTTAGGGAGGGAGGTAGAGTGCTCTTTTGCCCAGGGTAGAGTGCAGTGGTGTCATGGTAGCTCCAACTCCTGGGCTTAAGCGATCCTCCTGCCTCAGCCTCCTGAGTAGCTGGGACTACAGGCGCCCACCACCACGCCCAGCTATTTTTAAAAATTTTTTATAAAGTCTTGCTATGTTGCTCAGGCTGGTCTTGAACTCCTGGGCTGAAGTGATCCTCCCACCTCAGCCTCCCAAAGTGCTAGGATTATGAGCGTGAGCCACC